TGACTTTCGGAGATCTAGAGCTGCTGGGCATGAGACCTGGGGGCCGGAGGTCCTTGGGTGGAAAAGGAGGGTGTGCCTGTCTGTAGCAGGTGGTGATGGTGGTCTGGCCATGAGCGTCATATGGATGTAAGTGCTGGAGGAGTCTGTGCACATGGAGGATACTGGAAAGAGGAAAGAGTTAGTTATTTTCACTCCCTGGGACTGTGGTTCCACCTGCTGCTTCCGTTGCACACCCCCCCCCCCCTTTACCCCCGCATCCCGCCTCAGATGGATTTAACATTAAAATGCAGCCAAGTCTTTCACCGTCTCTTTAGAAGTTACTACCGGGTTTTTCTCTTCCTCCTCCTCTGCTCTCTCTTCCTTTCCCTCCTACCTCTGCACCTATGTCCCTCTTCCTCTTCCTCTTGCTGCCCCGCCCCCGCCCCTCTCCTTAGGGGGAAGAGCAGGGTAAGGAGAGGGGCAGTTGTGGCCCGTAGATGGCTGGCCGTTTTCTAGATGGAGATGCGTGAGACACAGTTTATGAAGCGTGGGCCTTCCTGTCCCCCAGAAGCCTTCAAGGACGTGGTTTGCTTTTGCGTTTAAAGTGGGAGTGGCCCCAGATGCTCTGTCCATCCAGTGCTCCTTTTGCCAGAGGCTGGCTAGTGCTCCAGTCTGGGAACCGCTGACACCCGTGTTCACCGAGGCCTGCCCTTCTGCCCCCAAGGGCAGTCTGACCTCTCACTGCCTGATCCAGCGCGGGGAGCTCGGGCCTCAGCCTGCAGAGCTGGTCCGGGGCATTCTCACGGCCTCTGCTCTGACTGTAGGGGTTTCACTCCTCCACCTTTTTTTTTTTTTTTTTTTTTTTTTTTTAAACAAAAATGGAAAATTATATAGCCACATGGAGGAAGTGCACAGCAGAAGAAATAAAAGGCCCCATAACCCTCCCTGACTCGCAGTCTTATGATTTCTGAACATGTGATTGGGGTTGTCTGCTCAGTTCACCCTGTTTCTTGAGCAAAACTGACACCCCATCCCTGCCCCCAATCTGCAGATGGTATCAGAGGTCAGAAGGCCACATTTGAAGTCCTTTAAATTTATGTAAGTGGGCGGTCCTATAAAAATAGGCGCACGCGCTTGAAGAACCCAACAATCAAATCCCCGGCTTTGGAAATGGCCCGATTTCCGGGGCACGCGCCGATGTTTTGAGTCCAGTGGCTACAGACGTGCTCCCCACCGCTCAGCTGCAACCCCTCTCCCAGCCCCTGGTGTGGGGGTGGCCGGGGCCCTGACACCTAGCGTTTACACGCGGTGTTTTAGCTCAGGAAGAATGGCCACGTATGTGCACATCGAAAACGCATCTTCGCCGGAACATGCGGTCATTTCAAGAGCAACAGATTTCAAAGCTCAGACCGTGCTGCTCGGCCTTCGCCACCCCTGATTCCTTCCGTCTCTTCTCCTCGCGAAGTTACGGAGCTTGCCCCACGGTCAAGGGGCAATTCGGCCTTTCCCCCTTTGCCCCGGGCCTTCCGCTGGCAAAGAGCCCTTACGTGCTTCATCCTCAGACTGCAGCTAGCTCTCCTAATTGCTAACTAGAATAACGAGAAATGCCCTGTCCCCAGGGTACCTTGCTGAGAGGATGGCTTTCCTGGGACTCGGGATATAATTAACTCCTTTAACTTGGACTTGACTGTTTCACCTCCATGTTTCCCAAAGTCCTGAGGATTACATACCAGCAAAACATTAACCTCCCCGAAGGATTCTTCAGCCGGAAGTTTGCTGTCAAATCCTATCCTACAGCAGGGATTCCCAAAATGAACTTTGGGGGGCTGACTTATCTTGAAGGGATATGGTTACCACATATCAAAAGCTAAGCTTCATCTTTTCTCTCAAACCTACCCCCAGTTCCTAGTCTTCTGTTTTTAAATATATATATTTTATTGGTTTTTTTACAGAGAGGCAGGGAGATAGAGAGTTAGAAACATCCATTCGCTGCCTCCTGCACACCCCTTACTGGGGATGTGCCCGCAACCAAGGAACATGCCCTTGACCGGAATCGAACCTGGGACCTTTCAGTCCGCAGGCTGACGCTCTATCCACTGAGCCAAACCGGTTTCGGCTAGTCTTCTATTTTTTATAAAATGGACACAGTGTCTTCTGAGCCCTCCACCTCTCCCTTCTTTTCTCCACATGCAGTTGCCTGCCAATCCCACCCACTGGGCTCTGTGCTCCCAGTGCCCGCCTTCTCCCCGTCCCTGGACCAGGCCCGCGGGGGTGGGTTTCCCCAGTCCCTCCCTCCTGCTCGGCGCACTGCTCACGCTCCTGTGGATTTCTCTCCCACACATCACCCACCGTCACCAGCTCCCTGCCCTGGACCTTCGGGCCTCCCCCCCGCGCGTGGATGTAGGACTTCTCGGAGGGCTTGCTGAGCCCCAGTCCCGGAGTTCCTCATCCGGGGGATCTGGTCACGGGCTGGTGATGTGCTTTTCTACCAGGGCAGTGCGTCCCCTGGTCATCCTTCGAGGCCTCGGCTCCGGGGCGAGCCAGGCTCCGCAGTCTCCAGGCTGCTCCTGTCTGCTCGCTCTGACTTCCTCCCTGCTCTCGGCTCAGCTGTGCTCACTGGAGCCCCTCAGGTCACATAAGGACACGCGCCAGGCTCCTCCGGAGCAAGCTCTGTGTCTTATCCCCTCATTCCCATCTCGCAGTTGACAGGTGTGGTCACGATGCAGCAGAGGACCCGGGGGTGCCGGGGGGAGGGAGGGCGGTGGGGAGATGGCTTTTGTAGACAAAACTCTGAGCAGCGTCAGCAGGCCCTCCCCATGGAGGCAGGCCCCGCGGTGCAGACAGCGCAGGCAGCGTGGCCAGGAGGCCTTTGTTCACGCAGTGGGCTCCTCGTCACCAGGCTTTTCACGCCTCTTCCCCTCCTTAGCCTTTTCTTCTCCCCGTTCCCTGGCATTTCATTCCCGTCCCTCTTCTCTTCCTGCCTCGTCACGATGGTTGAAGAGGTTTCTGAATCTTACTATAAAGCCACAGAATTGCTTCTGAATTCTAATCTGAGCATCTTTTGTAGCAAAGATACTGGACAAGAAGGACCGTTATTGTATTGGGGCATGCTATAGGGTGTCTGAGTCAGAGTCTACATGTTCATCTTTTACAGGAAACAGGCACGTTGTCGTTCAGCTTAAAAATAACCCTGGGCACGGACACATGGTAACCCCACTTTACAGGAGGGAAAGCAGACTTAGCGATGAAGCAGTGAAGACGCATGATTCTGTTTCCATCTTCATGCACACGGAGAATGACTGCTTTGTTTTCTAAAGCTGCATGCTGTAGTTACTAACTGTATCTGGCATCGTGGCTGCAGGTATGAGGGAGTTTCTGCCAAGTTAGAGAAAAGTGTGTGAAGATAGGAAATATGCCTGGGTGATATTTACTCCAGGAAATTATTAGCAGTTTTAGATCAAGACTTAAATATTCATGTGTAGCGCCTAGGGAGACTGAAAAAGATACACAAATGTAAACCCACAGAAAAAAGCCCGAAGAGACTCACCGCACTGGGAATAGGGCCAGTCGTTTTGTCCTTGGTGTTAGTCAAAACTTTTTTACTGTGTAAATGATAACTTAGAGGGGGAGGAAGAGAGCATGTGGGAGGAGCCGAGAAGAATTATAATTAAAAAACAACAAGGTGCCCTAGCTGGTTTGGCTCAGTGGATAGAGCGTTGGCCTGCGGACTGAAGGGTCCCAGGTTCGATTCTGGTCAAGGCCACATGCTGGAGTTGCAGGCTCGAACCCCAGTGGGAGACATGCAAGAGGCAGCCAATAACTGATCCCCTGCCATCATTGATGTTTCTCTCTTTCCCTATCCCTTCCTCTTTGAAATCAATAAAAATATATTTAAAAAGATAAAAAAATTTTAAATGTTAAAAATCTTTAAAAAAACCAAACAAATAAAAAACAACAAGATCCCAGCTGGTGTGGCTCAGCGGTTAAACATCGACCTGTGAACCAGGAGGTCATGGTTCCATTCCCATCAGGGGCACATGCCCAGGTTGTGGGCTCGATCCCCAGGAGGGGACGTGCAGGGAGCAGCCAATCAGTGATTTTCTCTCATCATTGATGTTTCTTTCCCTCTCCCTTCCTCTCTGAAATCAAACATATATATATATATATATAAAACACAACAAGAAAAGGAATCCATCCAAACATGCCTGGCCCTCGTTACCTTAGGGAGGGTCTCCTTGTGGCTCTTCCCACCAGCTCTGCCTGCACAGCTGGCCTGCTCTTCTTCGCGAAGGCCTCCCTGCCTCCTTTCTTAGCACCTCCAGCCAGCAGCGACTCCTCCCACCTCTGAACAATCCTTTCTTGCTGGCCCCGTCCATCTCATTTCCCCAAGAAAGCGTCTCCTGGCGTTGCAGCTGGGAAGGCCCCTCTCCTGAGTTAAACAGAATGGCAGGCTCTGGCCCCACCGGAGCTGGCCTTGGACTCCTCAGTGCCTGTGTCTGGACCCCCTGCAGTGTCTGTGGCCCCGAGGGGGGCGCGGTGAGAACAACTGCCCCTCAGGTGACCAGGCTGCTGGGCAGGTGTGCTCACTGCGCCAGCGGGGAAAACGGCCAGAGGAGGGCGCCCTGCGGCACCCGCTCTGAGTGCTGCGAGTGTGCGGACACCGTGCACAGACGGGTCTGCGCCTCCTGCGTCTGACAGCCACCATCGCAACTGGCAGATGCTCTGAGAAACCGGAGTTCCCAGTCAGCAAAGGGAACAACGGGAATGACCTCAGAGAGAGGATGGTCAGCTATACTTCGTAAAAAATATTTTGGATAATGCGTGGAAGCGAAACCGAACGTCATTTCCTTGCGAGCTGACCCGACGGGTTTTCTGCTCCCCCTCCCTCCAGGGCATGCCGCAAGCACTGCCGGCTCCCCTGCTCCCCTGCTCCCCGGGGCTCTGGGGTCGGGGCGGGCACGTCAGGCTGCTTGTTTTCAATGCTTTCTCCTAACGAGCTGTCCGCCTGCCTCTTTCCGCAGGGCAGTGATGGCGCGCGGAGGTCCACGCTCCTGGAGGGTGACGAGCCCCTGGCCTTCTTCTATGACGACGTCAGAACGTTGTACGAGGGTTTCCAGAGGGGCATCCACGTGTCGAGTAAGCACCGACCGAGTTTCTGTGCAGATGCTGATTCCATTCAGGAGTGGCCTTCCTTCCTTCGTGTCGCTCGGGCCTCCCTCTCCTCTGAAGACCCCTCCAGAGTGAGACCCCGAGCCCACGGCCCCTCCAGACGCTCCCCGTGGGCGCCATGTCCAGACGTGTTCAGCACGCCGTGTGTTTCACAGTCACACGCACATTCGCTCCCTGTGGGCCCACGTTCCCTGCAGCCACGAGACCCGCCTCACTGGGCCTGGTCCGGCATTTCCCAAAGCTCTCCATCAGGAGACTCAGATTTTAAGAAGTAAATGCTGGCGTCCCGAGGAAGCAGTGTTCCTTCCGTCATGGGCACTGGGAATGGGGCGGCGCTTAGTGACTGACTGTGGCCCCAGAGACCCCGGTGTCCCGCCCCTGCCCTCCCTCCCAGCCCTCTGCCAGGCTCGGCACGGGCACTTCCCAGGACGCCAGCCTCTGTGCCTGCCCTCCCCACCCATCTCTGAGCCTGTTCTTCCCACCTGCCTGGGCACTTGTATGTTCTTACTAACCCTCCTAATTCAGGCTGCACTTCTCCTTTTCTGTAACCCCTTCCCGGGCTGTCATCTCCCTTCCCCTCCTTCAGGCCGGTGTGGCCCGCCCCCTCTCAGCATCCGCACCGTTTTACCGCCTCCGTGACCAGGGCTGCCGTCTCTTCTTCCCACAGTGACTCAGCCTGGCACTCACACCTCTGCGCCCCCACCCCTCCTTTTGCTTTAGTCTCTTCGCTTTTGCTTGTTCCAGGTTCCTCCCCAGAAGCGGTCCTTGGCATCCACGCTTTATTTAAATCTGCTGGCGATTAGACTTAGGTTACGGACTGTGGTGCTGTTGTCCCCCCTCTCCTGTCCCCCACATGCTGCCTGTGATGTGTGCTCGAGAGGTGCTTTTCCTTGACACTGGCAAGTTGGACTCTGGTTCACCGTCACCCCGGCAATCCTGCAGCACACTCATTAGGCCCCGCTATAAAGGGAAAGCGAGCGTACCTCTAGATCACGTGTCAAACACAAGGCCCGCGGGCCAAATCCGTCCCGCCAGGCCTTGCAATGTGGCCCGCACCGCGCTGTCATCACTGCACTCCGCTGCGTTTCCATCACAATGACAGTTTATGACTGTTCAGTAAACCATTCGGCCCGCGATTTAGGCTGGATTTTAGATTTTGGCCCCTTCTCTGATTGAGTTCGACACCCCTACCTAGATTATTGAATTGACAGGTTTCTTCAGAGATAGTATCAGGGTAAGGGTTTGTCTGTGAGAATAAATAGAAGGTAGATCAGCCTAATTAAGAGCACATGAAAAATATATATATATATATATATATATATATATATATATATATATATGCCTCTGTGTGTGTGTGTGTGTGTGTGTGTGTGTGTATCATTTACCACCACAACAAAGCACACATGTGTGTAAATATACATACATTTTTCCCGTGGTTAGCAGAGGATGAGATTCATCTAGGAGGACACTTCTGAGTGTCCCCTGACGTTAAGTCACGTAACTTTGGGGGGATCACTGTCTCTACTTGGGAAATGAAGGACTTACATGAATGTTTCAGAGACGTGGGAGAAAAGTAAGTTCGGTGATTTTCGCTTATACTGACTGAAGAGGGTTGCTTTACTTTTCCCCCAGAGGAGCTTTTTATTCCAAGCTTTAGTTTTCCGAGGCTGCCATAGATTGACTTTCTGTAGGAGGGCGTGGCCGGCATCTGGATAGGTGGAGGTTGCTGAATGATGGCAGAGCCAGCTGAGAGTTTTCACACCTGGTGTTTGAAAGCTGCGCCGGGGCGCGGTTTGCAAAGATTGCGATCCCTGTTCAGTGGTTCCCATCCCCAGCTGCACTTCAGGGTCAAGCGGGGGGAGAGGGAGGTGTGTGGAGCTTTTGGAAAATACTAAGGCCCAGGCCCCATCCCTGTCCGGTTATGTCAAGAACGTTGCTAGCAGGGCCTGGGTATAGTGTATATTTTAAGTTCCCCAGCTGAGCCTGGGCTCACCGCGCTGTTGAGCTAGAGTCCACGAACTTCTCCTGTGAAGGGCCAGGTAGGGGATGTTTTGGGGTTTGGGGCCATCAGGTCTCTGTTTCAACGATTCGGCTGCAGCCTTAGATAACACGTAAAGGAATGAGTGGGCCGCGTTCCAGAAAGTGTGTTTACAGCGCAGGGGGCGGGCCTGATTGGCCCTGGCTGTGGATGGCTCACCCCTTTTCTTGAGGAAAAAAGAAATATTATTTCTTATGGCCACTGTACTTCCTTCCCCATCCGAAACCACATCTGGTGGAACTTGTCGTGGTTGGCGGGTCTTTTTCACTTTTGGAGATGACAGTGTCACACAGCATTGTATCAGTTTCAGGTGTACAACACAGTGACCCCACAGTGAATAGTTCACACCCATCACCACACAGAGTCACAGACTGTGCTGTTATCACACACAGAGAACCGTGTGGTTCCCTGTGCATCACCCGCAGGACCCACTTGCTGACCCCGGCAGCCGGGCCTTCATCGCAGCCCCTGAAGATGGAAGAGGCTCTGAGGCCAAGGCCCCCTGGCGCTCTCTCCTGCATCGGTCAGGTCGGCCTCGGAGCCAGGCCTCAGGACGGCCCGAGTCCTCACCACTGATGCTGGAATCCACACGCGCACCACACCTCTCAGGGCCCCGGAGCAGCCCCACTCTGCTTTTCCTCCCCCTTCCTTCAGGTCCCTGCTCCAGAGAGGACGGTGAAGCCAGATGCTCACGTCTCAGAGCGGAAGTGTAGAGGCCTCGGTCAGACGGGAGGTGCTAACCCTTCCAGCTTCATTCCGATTCCCGGGAGAAGGAGCGAGCAGGCCCAGCACGCAGAGCTGCTGGCAGGCCTGGTTTCCCTGGGACACGTTCCTGTGTGCAGTCACCTCTGACCGTCTGAAAGTGGCAGCTTGTCCCCTGTGAACATAGCCTTTCCCTCCGACAGCTACAGCGGAGCGTAAAGTTCGCTTGGGATCCACCTGTAGAAAGGAACGTGTGTCATTCCAGATGTAAATGACTTGGATTGTATTTATTAATGAGCTAGCCGTTAGTGTGAATAATTCATATAATTAACACGGGTCTTTCTTTCTGCTTATTAGGTACCTAATTTGGAGTCAGGACACATCCTGATATTTCCTAACTTTTGCATATGCCTTCTCTCATTTTCCTCCTCTCCCGCCCCACTTAAGGAACAAAATAGAAATAAACAAGAAAAAAAAAAATCAAACCAAAACCCAAGGAGAATAATTTCCCACCTGAACTCATTATTTCTAACCTGAGGACCACCAGAGTCCCCCGGAGACTGTAGAACGAGGTGGACTGCACCCTGAGATGCTGATACGTGTTACACCGTTGCTTTCTCCTCTTTCAGATAACGGCCCTTGCTTGGGCTCTCGGAAGCCAGACCAGCCCTATGAGTGGCTTTCCTACAAGCAGGTGAGTTTTGGGGCTCGGTGGGCGCCTTGCATAGCTGGAGTGGCTCGGTGTGCGGGTTCTCGGAGCCCTCCGCAGAACGTCTGTGCCTGACCAGCTCAGAGCTTTAGATAAACATGCAGCATCTGCTGGGGAAGTCTGACACCCAGATTTGGGGAAAACCAGTGAACTGATTTAGCTGGTGGTTCAAAGTACTTAATTTTTATTGATTGATTGATTGATTGATTGATTTAGAGAGAGAGAGAGAGAGAGAGAGAGAGAGAGAGAGAGAGAGAGAGGCGGGGGGAAGGGAGAGACAGACATCAATTGGTTGTTCCACTTACTGATGCACTCACTGGTTGATTCCTATATGTGCCCTGACCAGAGAGGGTACCCACAGCCTTGGTGTATCAGGATGATGCTCCAGCGAACTGAGCTCTCCAACCAGGCCTTCAGCACTTTGTTTTGGAGCCAATGGATGCATTGTGGAGTAGAGTATAATTTTGAACATAAAATTCTAGAAATGTGTCGAAGCAGGTGACTAGACCCGTGGAGGGATAGGTCTGCCCCCCTCTGCCGTGAGAGGTTCTGAGAGAGGCGAGAAGCCCCAGAGTAGAATAACCCTCATTTGTAGAAGAGGAAGACGAGTCCCAGGAAGCGATGGTCCCAGCTGGTTAGTGGCAGAAGCCCGGCCAGAAGTGGGGTCCGTGCCCTCTGGTGTGGGGCTCAGCAGTGTGTCCTGGCCAGCGTGGGACCCCTGCGACATGTGACCCGGGGCCACCACCCACAGCCGCACGGAGACACACCCTTGCTCATCACAAATATCAAGGACGTGGGGATCTGGCTGTTCTCACGCGTGTCCCTCCGCAGCCCCACCTCGTCCACGTGGGCTGGTCAGTAGTGGTTTGTGAGTGGCGGGTAGCAGAGCAGGAGGACAATGCCCTTTAGCTGTCGTTTGGTGATTCCGATGAGTCCACACTCGTGTGCTTCTCCTCGGTCCCAGTGGAGCTGCGGGCCCGCAGGAGCAGCTGGCGGCAGCGGCCAGGCTGCCTTTGTCCCCAGTGCAGCTGCCAGGAAGTGCTCCCTGCTCCAGGGGCGGGCACTGGGCCTCCGTGCGCACTCAGGCTTCCTCCTTCCAGGCTGTGTGTTGGCGTGTGGCTCGCAGTCGCTGTCGTCCGGGTGTGCGTGTGGAGGGGTTCTCATTAGGAGCCACAAAGCCAGCTCGGGAGCCAGGCTTTCTGTCTCCCAACACCAGCACTCAGCATCCTTCCCTTCCCTCGTCTGAGCACCAGCGGGTCCAAGGCTTTGCTTGGGTATCTTGAGAGAGAGGGCAAAGAGGCGAGAACCACAGCACGCCTTGAGTGTAGGCATGACTGGATGGATTTTGCTGTTTTGTTTGCCTTCCCAAAGCCAAGTAATAGTGTTCAAATAGTAGTTTTCGAGATCCCTCCTTTTTGCATGTGGTGCAAAGACCATGTGTGTTGCATGATGATCTCAGGCCTCAGCATCCTCAGGTGCATTCTGGATCACCTGTGTTGCATTACGTTCAGCAATATTTTCCCACATTGCTTCTCTCACATGTCGGCGGGAAGCAAGAACACCCCATTGCAGGCTGGGATTTCTTTTTCTTTTCTTTTCTTTTTTTTAAAATATTTTTATTGATTTTTTACAGAGAAGAAGAGAGAGGGATAGAGAGTTAGAGACATCGATGAGAGAAAATCATCAATCAGCTGCCTCCTGCACACCCCCCACCAGGGATGTGCCACAACCAATGAACATGCCCTTGACCAGAATCGAACCTGGGACCTTTCAGTCCCCAGGCCGATGCTCTATCCACTGAGCCAGACCGGTTTCGGCTAGGCTGGGGTTTCTGAGCAGACAAGCTCACTTGGGTTCTGAAGGTTCATCTCGGTGTGGCTCCTGTTCATCAGGCTGGTGGACATAATCACTGGACTCCCCTGACGCCAACTTGGGATTTGTACATTTCTGTCTTTTTTTTTTTTATCACCTGGGGGTTCTGGCCTTGGAGGGCAGCAACCCCTTTCGAAGAAAGGTATGGACCCTTTCTCTAGAGACGGAAGGTCACGCATGTTCTCCCAGGGAGCTCTGCACACACTGCAGACACGTCCCAGGTCCCCATCCCTCAGTGCCAGCGATGGCTGTGAAACAGCCATGGGGTGTGGGGGATACTAGATCCTAATGTCACCCTCTGTCACCGACCAGTGTCGGCTCTCATTCCACGGCAGAGCCACGATGGGCATACGTGGCAGAGCCAGCCGCATTCTGGGTACAGGAGGTGTGCTTCACCCCCCGCAGGTGTGGGCGTGAGCCTGGAGCGCTCCTGAGAAGCAAGGAGAGAACTCCGATTTTAAAGATTTCAAAAGCTTTTTTAAGTTAATCTAGGCAGGAATGGAGAGAGGATGGGGCAAGTATGTAGTCCTGTCTCCTTTTTTATACATCTACCTATTTTTATTTGGTTGTAATAACAGTATGCATTGTTGTATATTTTCACTTAGGATGGTCGCACACATTCTAAGTTTGGTGTGGTTTGCGTAACTGTAATATGGACGCGCTGTATGGCATTTCCCAGCCGTGGCCCTCGTCCCCTGGAGTCCTGTGATTTTTCATGGGTGGGGAACGTCCAGCCCGCGGGCTGTAGAGGCCCACGGGACCATTTGGGGTATTCCCTGCCAAGACCAGATGATTAGTAAATTAAATGTTTGACCAACTATAGCAGGCTGGTTTTTAGATTGATAATTGTGTATGGCCCGCACATTATGTTATACATATCCAAATGGCTGGCTGTTGGCAGAAAAAAGGGTTTCCCACCCCAGCAGGTAATTGTGTGAAATATGTGTCTTTGTACGTAAACATTTTTAAGCCTCCTTTTAAAAATCGAATTATTTCCTAAGAATAAAGTCTCAAGAATGGAAGTGGAGAGCCCAGTGAGAAGAACTTTCTTCCTCTTTTAAAAGATCTTCCCCAAACTTGCTGTTTCTGTGTTGATACCAAATGACAAGTTTTGGCTGCTTGGCTGCTCTTTATAAATACAAAAAAGAAAAAACCCCGCGTCCCTGTATGCTTTTGTAATGTGACGGGTTCTGTGAACCTGAGGTGTGAGCGGGCCTGGTGGGAATTCCTGCCATGGCTGCCGCCGGGCTCTGCAGGAGGCCCAGGAGGTCAGGAGTGGGTCCCGGCGAGGAAGCCGTGCTGTTCGGGACATGGCCCGAAGGTTCCTCTGCTCTCACCTCCTCTGTGCGTGCTCTGCCCCCACCCCCCAGCCTCGTCCCGGGGTGGGGCCTGAGCGGCCACTGCTTCTCCTCCCCTCCAGGTGGCGGAAATGTCGGAGTGCGTGGGCTCGGCGCTGATCCAGAAGGGCTTCAAGGCCGCCCCCGACCAGTACATCGGCATCTTTGCCCAGAACAGACCTGAGGTAAGGCCCCCGCAGCCCCGACCGACCGACCGTCCATCCGTCTGTCCGCGGCTCTGAGCTCTCTCCGGTGGAAGAGCCGGTCAGCCCACACCTGCCCCCGCTGGGGACCAGACCTTGTGGCCGGATTTCTCCTGAGAATGTGGCTTTGGGTCCCACCTTAGGAAGTTACACGTGTAAAACCCCGCGCCAGGGCGCCCCCGAGCATCCCGTACATTTGCCTGGGAGGTCGTTGAGCTGCTATGTGGCTGCCGAGTGTGGAGACCCCATGACCAGTTACCGCTTCACTTCTTTACGTCGTTCCTATTCTGGGGAGGTTTTGTCAGAACAGTTTTCCTGTTGGACAAGTGCGTCCCTCCTTGCCCCGTTCCCACCCCGTGCACGCCTCAGCCAGGCTGACCTTCCTCCGGCCACAGTCACTGTTTCGCTGAGAAGCCCCGGAGGCTATGCCTCGCCTGGGGGCCAGAGCCAGGCACCTCCCGAGCCAAGGCTTGCCCCGGCCCACGGCGAGCCTTCTGGTCCCCACTCCCTCGGGGACCTCCAGGCCAGCCAGCGGCTCGCTGACCTCCTTCCTGCTTTGAACTCTGCAGTCCCCGCTCTCGGGATCTCCTTCCTTTCTCTCCATCTGTCCACAGGGTGCTGCTCCTGCAAGGGGCAGCCCAGTTACTCCCCCAGAGAGGTGGCCCTCGGGCGGGGCTCCGAGTCACTGGCTGGTCTTGGTGATTGCCTTGCACAGTTGTCTCCATCCTCCCAGCAGATGGCACCTGCTTCTCAGCAGGGGCGAGTGTTTGGTCCTCACTGTGAATCCTCGCGGTGCCTGGATGTGCTTTTGATCCAGGGTTGGTCTCTGTGCAGTGGCTCCATGATGACGTGTCCTTTTCTCTCAACCCTCCCTGTCTGTCTAGTGGGTGATCATTGAGCAGGGATGCTTTGCTTTCTCCATGGTGGTCGTTCCCCTCTATGACACCCTGGGAACCGAAGCAATCACTTACATAGTCAACAAAGGTACGTGTGGTCTCCGGGTGGACACCGGCCTCGTTGTTAGATTCTGTGATTGACATTTGCCTATATTTGATTTGAAATGGATTTTATATTTAAACTGGAGGCCCGGTGCATTAAATTCGTGCAGCGGGGGGGGGGGGGGGGGGGGGGTGTCCCTCAGCCCAGCCTGCACCCTCTTACAATCTGGAATCCCTCAGGTAGTGTTCCTAGGCCTGGCTGGCAATCAGGGCCTATAAGGGCCTTCCTTCCCCCAGCTGCCGGCAGCTGCCCACCCCCCACCCCCTTCCCCTGCCACTGGTTGCCTCCCTCTGCAGGCAACGGGCATGGATGCAATTGCTTGGCTGGCCTGGGCCTCCCTCTGTGGGGGGATTGATCATGGGCCCCCAGATCGATCGCCTCGCAGAGGAAGGTCCCACCCACCCATCGCAGAACTACCAGCCGGTGGCCTGGTCTTCCCTCTGTGGGGCAGTGGATCATGGGGCTCCGTGATCAATAGCCCAGCAGAGGGAAGCCCTGCCTGCCCGGGCAGGGCTCTGCAATTGATCTTCGCTCAAAGGGTGGTCTGGGCCTCCCTCTTTGGGGTAATCATGGAGACTCCCAGCCCCCTCCCCTCGCCCATCAGGCTGCCCTGCAGAGAGTGGCATGGGGCAATGGCAGGGCCCCCTGACCAATCGCATCACACCCGCCTTGGCTGGCCTGGTGCCAGTGCACATCACAGTGTGGTCATCCAGAAGGTCTGGACAGTCATTCTGCTGTGCAGTCCATTTGCATGTTGCAATTTTATTATAGATGTCCACCTATCTTTTTTAAAATTATGCAGTCAAGCTCGTTTTTCAGAGCATCTTGCTCATTGTACCTCTTGTTTTCCAGCTGAACTCGCCCTGGTTTTTGTGGACAAACCAGAGAAGGCCAACCTGCTACTGGACGGTGTAGAAAACAAGTTGACCCCCTGCCTTAAAATCGTGGTCCTCATGGACTCCTACGGCAGCGATCTGTTGGAGCGCGGCAAGAAGTGCGGGGTGGAGATCATCAGCATGAAGGCCATGGAGGTGAGTCCTGCTCTGCCCAGGTCTGGAGGCGTCCCCAGGGTCATCTGGGCACAGGCGTGGCCTCCACTGGGCCACACGGGCTCAGCCCCGGCTGGCTGCCTCAGCCATGAGTGATACGGAGCAGAAACTCCTGTCTCGTGTGAAAAGAATTCACGTGCATGCCCAGAGTCACTGTCCCCTCTGACAGTCCTCCCCTCCAGCGATCTGCAGTGCTCACCAGTTTATTACAGAGCCGGACATGCCGCGCCAGTGAAAGCTGGGAACTGTAGTTCAGTTGCAGGCAGGGACTTAACTTTGTGCCTCTTTAGGCTTCAGTGCCTTTTACTCTCTGACTTGTATCTAAAACGGAGCCAGGTACGGACGTCCACCTCCCTATTCTTTTCCCCAAAATTGTTTTTGTAGAGGCCTGGTGAATATCCAGCAGGGATGTTGGATTTGGTTTATTTTCATATTAAATTTCTTCAAGTTCACATTCATTGCAACGTTAAAGGTAACCATTCTGGGAAAATGAGTGCGGCTCGCACTGAAATCAGCTGTTAGGCGTCGGCTCCCGTGAGAAGCTGATCCTCCGCGTTGGCTTGGAAATTAAAGTTCAATCCCGAGCTGCAGGCAGGAGGGGGACCTCGCATGGACACATCATAGCAAGAGACAGGCTGCACAGAGCCAGCTGTTCCCTTTCTGAAAACCTTATGTGCCTTCCTGGATCTGTTATAAATAGGGCTTAAAATGTATGCATGGTTTTCTATAAAGCATCGAGGCTCTATTAATAAGGATCTATCAGCCCTTTCCTGGGGAAATTCAACATCAGAGAGAAACTGTCTTTTGTTGTAACAGAGCCTCCTGCCTCACTCACAGACACACACACACTCACAGTCACACATCACACACAGTCACACATCACACACAGAAACATACACTCAGACACACACACAGTCATTGAGGTATATGCCCTTCACCGGAATCGAACTGAGCCCCTTCCGTTTGTGGGTTGACATTCTAACTGCCAAGCCGGATGGGCCAAGGCGAATCCGTCCTTCGTAGCTTTCAAGCCCATTCTGGAGCAGCCTTACACCTTCCATCCCGGCCTGTTTGGTAATCAGAGGTTCCCAAGTCCTGTCTCCGTCCCACATGGGCTTCCGAATGGCTGGCATTGACATCTGCAGGCTGGCTCCCTCTCTCCGGGTGGAGGTTTTCCATAGGCAGCATTGGGTGAGCAGGTGCCTTGCTGTGCTCTGATTTGGGGACCGGGCTGAGCATCTACAGCCAGCTCTCTGGTGACGGTCAGGAGCTGGGTTTGTGAAAGGCCAGAATAGGGAGTAGGGGGCCAGGAAATCGATCATGAAACACTCTGATTCCTGTCTTTGGAATAAATCTTATTGCAAGGCCACCCTGATACCACTTACAGAGTCTGGTGTCAGAGAGAGGTGTCCGGACAGCGGCTTCTTGGAGCAGTGCCTACGTTTTTTGGTTCAGGTTGATTTGAGTTGCCGTAGTTAGTGTCAGAAATGTCTGCTGTCTTTGAGCAGCCGTCAGTGAATCCACAGCGAAGTCAGGCGGAGAGACTTGATGTGACCTTCTTCTTTGCATTGAGAAAAGTGTCCATGTAAGATGTTTTTCTCTTTTCTTCAGGACCTGGGAAGGGCCAACAGGAAGAAGCCCAAGGTAAGACTCTGCCAGGCCTGCCACAGTCCCCTGGCGTTCCACTAGCTGGTCGCCTCGGAGACCAGCAGGGATGGTAGGTGATGGCTTATGGTTCACAGTTGTCTGTTCTGACTTGTGCCGCTTCCTTCTTCTCCTTTTATGTGCTGCAGCCTCCAAAACCTGAGGATCTTGCAGTCATTTGTTTCACAAGTGGAACCACGGGTAAGTTCTGCCATGGACTTGCCTCTGAGTGACCTGCCAGTGTGTACTCCCTGCCTCCTTTGAGGACGAGTTCCTTGGGCTGTAGATGGACCGAAGGCAGAAGAGACAGAAGTGGTTCAGACACTGTCTTCGCGTCCCTCTGAGAGACATTCTCAGAATCTGAGTGTCACATATTTCCTCAACCACTTATTGAAGGTGACACTCCATCCATCATCCTGAGACACAAACCCCGTATCACTGACTTACAGAAATAGAAACAGACTTCTGTCTTTTCTTCTCCGTTGCCACACACCCTCCAAAATTTGCCCATCATAGTAAAGATTGTTTATGATACCGAGTTTCCTGGAAAGGCTTGCAGATCGCTCAGGAATTTATGTGACTCAACAGTTGGCTCTCCTGAGTGTACCTGACACTGAGGCCCTCACCGTGGAGGGTTTCTGGGTGGCCTCCATGTCTGTCGTTGGTTTTTGGGTGAAGTTTCTGTCCTCTGACTTGGTTCTGCTCACATGTGTGTTCCTCAGGCAACCCCAAAGGAGCAATGATCACTCATCGAAACATAGTGAGCGACTCCTCGGCGTTTGTGAAAGTGACCGAGGTAAACTTTTGGGATGTTGCCATCTTCCTTCATGTTCATTGGTTGGCATTAGGCCTTGAGAATGAAAGTGGTAAAGGCTGGGGAGAAATGACTCTGTCGTGTTTTTATAGTATCTCCTATCCCAGGGGGCAGGGAAATAACTCCCTTAAGTTGGCAATGAAGCGTTAGATGCCGCTGAAGGTTTTGAGTTATTATTACTTTTATGGTCAGTTTGACGTCCATTTTATCAGAAGGACTAAAGCCTCGAACTTCAGTTACTATCCAAGTGTCTTAGTCTGCGTGGGCTGCCATAACAAAATAGCCCAGACTGAGCAGCTGAAACGGCACAGATCTGGACGCTAGAAGTCCATGATCAAGGTGCCAGCAAATTCGGTTTCTGGTGAGGGCTCTCTCCCTGGCTTATAGACAGCCGCCTTCTACCTCTCATAGCCTTTCCTCTTGTGCACAAGGAGGAGAGAGGTCTCTGGTGTCTCCTCTTCTCACAAGCACACAGGTCCTTTTGGGTCAGGGCCCCACCCTTATGACCTCATTCAACCTTAACTACCTCCCAATGGCCGTATCTCCAAATACGGTCATATTGGGTTAGGCTTTGGCCTATGAGTTTGGAGAGGCCACCATCAGTCCATGACACCAAGGGTACATTTCAAACCTGTGCTTTAGGAAGTTGCTAGTGACCAGCATGAGCCTCTCTTTCAGACCCTTGGCACGGTTTGCATAATTCACGCTCCGTCTCTGTGGGTTCTGTCTGTGGCAGGAGCCTGCGCCTCTTGGTTTGGGAGAATGGGCATCTTGCTGGTATAGATGGTCCATCTCACTGGCACTTAAACTCACACCCTCTTAGTCCCAACCCCCTCTCTTGGTGTATACTTCCTACACCTTCACTGAGTCCACCCTCACTGCCTGACCAGAGCGCATCTTTCACTTTCTAACGGGCCTTCAGAGAAAGCTCCAAGCGCACCCGTGGCTCGTGAGACAGACGGTTACAGAACTTTGTTTAAAACCCTGTATTCCTGGGGCATTCTCAGCTTTGTGAAAACCTCTGGCCATACAGATGATGTGTTGCACCAAATCAGAAAATCGAAAACTGTAAATAGCATCGAGTCTGGTTTCTTATCGTATAGCCGTTTCCCACAGGGAAGCACTGGTTTGGATGCAGGTCATCCTGGCATGAAAGTGATCTCAGGCCGGGCATGTCCAGGCTATCCCACGTACCCTGGGACTCCTGTGTCCACTCCGGACCGGCTAATGGCACAAGCGCTCGGTGCAAACCCTCGCTGTGCCGGCCACGGGAAGCTGGGCATGGAAACCAGATGTCCCGACTCAGCCCAGATACAGATCTATTGCCCTCCGCGCACCCGGGGAAAGCAAATCCCTGGCGTCAGCCCAGAGCTGCATTGAACAAACCGGGATGTATCTCACGGGTGAGGGGGGGCTTTATGGTAAAGCTGTCGATCAAACTAAAATACTCCAGATGCGCTTGTGCTGTAGATAAAAGGAGCCTGGAGCTCCAGTTTATCTTCCCTCCTCTCCCGCTTCCCCTGTACGGCATAACATGCTGTCTTCCATTGGACTGGGTCTCATATTTCCACAACATAGCACACTGCCTATGTTGTGCCGGATCTTAGGTTTCTTACCGTTAGATGCGATTGAGCTTGCTGGGTCCTGGGGTACTGTAATTTTGAAATAATTAATGAGCACACGATCCCCTAAAAACATCCCAATTTGGACAAAATACTTCTTATTTTGGCTAAAGTCCTGAGTGCATTCACTTTGTCACTAGAAATGACCCCCACCCAACCCGAGTGGCTGAGGTGTTGCTTTGCACCTCACTCCTCAGTGAGAAGTAAGCGCAGACCGTAAGCCCGAGCCTTCCTCCTGAGCGTTGAGGGATCGTGTGCTCTCAGGGACGTGGGAAATGACTGGAATCTTAATACCACTCTGCCTGCCGGTGTCTTTGCTTACAGAACTTTGTCAATCCCACTCCAGATGATACTCTCATCTCTTTCTTGCCTCTTGCCCATATGTTTGAAAGAGTTGTCGAGGTAAGGCACTGTGTTTTGTTTTCCTTGCTGGCTTGTTTGTTTGTGTTCTAAGTCGTTGTGTTTTACAGAAGACACTTGGCCTGAATGCCAGTGACACACACATTTCGTTCTTACCACTTGCACACATGTATGAGCAGCTCATGCAGGTAAGTTTGACCTCACACTGTCACCCGTGCGTAGCTCTTTGCCAAGCCCTGTTTTAGAAATGGTGCTAATTATTTAAAAGAGTATCTTTTTTTTTTTTTTTTTTCTCGGTCTGGCTACTTGAACTTGAATCATTCATTTTAAAATTAGAAACTCAGATTTTTGAAGGATATGAATGTGGACATGATTCCAGAAAGATGGACTAAAAAAGTAGAATTTTTATGAATACCATTCTGTAAAGGCCTCTGCTCTGTGAGAAGTCTCGGTTTTTTTTTTTTTATTGTGCTTGTTCACAAATGCACAAGTTGGCTTAGGACTGATTTTTTCCCCCCACTAAAATTCTAAGTGACCTTGGGAAAGCAGGATGACCTTGACCTTTGCCTGGGCTCCCAGTACCCAACTGTGTGACTAGTTTAAAAACTGGCCAGGAGCCACCATTTTTCCTTCTTAGATAGTTCTGGATTGTATTCTGTTGTGTGTCTTTTTTTAAATGTTTATTAAAAAACCTTTATTATTGAAAGTATTACATATGTTCCCCTTTCCCCCATTGGCCCTCCCCACCCCTCGGGGGAAATGAGCAGCATTTTGTATTAGAGGGGAAATGAGCAGCATTCCTTTACTTAGCAAGTCTTGATTAAGCAGACCCATGTGCCACACCCTGTGAGGTGTTGGTGACAGTACCAAGGCTCCGCCCTTCGGAAATGCCCTACGAGATTTTCTCACCCCTGAGGACCAGGGATCTTAGCTCCCATCTTCCGGTCTTCCTTCCACCTCCTGCACAAGAGAGCTGTGATCTTAGCACGTGAGGTCAAATGAGTTGATAATGGGCCGTGTGTACCGGAGGTAGTGTTAGAGGTGTGCCTGGGAGGCGGGACACAGGGACACAGCCTCTGAGCTTTCATTTTTATTAAATATATTTTATTGATTTTTCACAGAGAGGAAGAGAGAGGGATAGAGAGTTAGAAACATTGATGAGAGAAAACCATCGATCAGCTGCCTCTTGCACACCCCCTACTGGGGATGTGCCCGCAACCAAGTACATGCCCTTGCCCGGAATCGAACCTGGGACCTTTCAGTCCGCAGGCCAACGCTCTATCCACTGAGCCAAACCTGTCCCGGCTGAGCTTTCATTTTTAAGCAGTGCGCCCTGGGGTGCCTTTCTAGTGGTTTCTGCTTTCAGGCTTGAGCCATTTGACCTTCAATTGTGTCATCATTTTATAAATTTTACTTACTTTTTTAATTAATCCTCACCTGAGAACATGTTTGTTTATTTTTTTAAAATATATTTTATTGATTTTTTTACAGAGAGGAAAGGAGAGGGATGAGAGTTAGAAACATCGATGAGAGAGAATCGTCGATCAGCTGCCTCCTGCACACCCCCTATTGGAGATGTGCCCGCAACCAAGGTACATGCCCCTGACTGGAATCAAACCCAGGACTTTTCAGTCCACAGGCCGACGCTCTATCCACTGAGCCAAACCGGTTTCGGCGAGAACATGTTTATTGATTTTTTTTTGATTTTTTTTTGATTTTTTTTTTAGAGAGATAGGAAGGGGTGGGGAAAGATAGAGAAACATCGATTGGTTGCCTCCTGTACATCCTCTGACGATGGGATGAAGCTCTAACCAACTGGGCCACCTGGCCGGGCTGTTGCATCATCTTTTTCTTTTTAAAATTTGAAAGAGGCAGACTACTTGCCAAGTGCACGTGGCTTGCCAGTACAGTTTACATCCAATAGGAAAATACTCATGCAATAGGTTGTAGCTGAATGACAGTCCATACTGGTGTGAGATATTCTAGTGTCTCAACTGTAACATATTCAGTAGCTTTTTAGAGATTTTTTTAGTTATCCTCCTATATAATAAAAGGCTAATATGCAAATCCACTGAATGACAGAACGACTGGTTGCTGTGATCCACACTGACCACCAGGGGGCAGGCGCTCAATGCAGGAGCTGCCCCCTGGTGATCAGTGCGCCCACAGCGGGAGTGCTGCTCAGCCAAAAGTCAGGCACATGGCTGGTGAGCACAGTGATGGTGGTAGGAGCCTGCCCTGCCAATATGGCAGCACTAAGGAACCCTCAGGAGATGTCCAGAGTGGGCTTAAGCGGCAGGTGGACATCCCCCAAGAGGTACTGGACTGCAAGAGGGTGCAGGCCCAGCTGAAGGACAACCTCCCACCCCCAGTGCATGAATGTCATACACCGGGCCTCTAGTCCTCTCTTATAAAGAGGGAATATGCTAATTGACCCACACGCCGTCGCAAAGATGATGGCACCCACAGCCAATAAGGAGGGAATATGCTAATTGACTGTCATGCCCTCAAAGATGGTGGCGTCCAGTCACCTCAGCTCCACCGGGGCAGCAGGCACACGGCAAGGCCAGACCAGCCCTCAGGTGGGCTCGGAAGCTCTATGTACCTGCCTCCGGAGTCCCCCCAGTCCCCTCAGCCTTCAGCCGCCTAGGGCCGACTCGAAGCACAGGCAAGCCTTGGATGGTGGCTGCCCAGCTGCCCAGGGCCAGCCCGAGGCTTAGGTAATCAGGGCTGGCCGAGGCTTACGCTGCTGGCAGTGGCAGCAGCAGAGGTGTGATGGTGGCATCACCTTCTCCTGATTGCCAGGTCACCTTCTGTCCTTGAGGGCTCCCAGATTGTGAGAGGAGGCAGGCCGGGCTGAGGGACCCCCCCTACCTCCAGTGCATGAATTTTCATGCACCGGGCCCTAGTATTCAAATTTAAAAAAATAAGACTCTGATAAGATTAGACTGTAGGAAAGTAGCCAAGTTTTTGTTTTGAGAATAACTTAGACGGAAAGTGCCTGGAAGACTAAAAGCACTTGGATTCTTTAATACCATGTCATTCAGTTAACATAGCAGAACCTCTATGATCCTCAGCAAACCAACATACCCTGGTTTCTGTTAGTTCCTTATCTTCAGGATGATCCAGAGAAAGGCTCAATTTCCATGTTGTACAGTCACCAAAGAATGCAACAACTGATTTTAAAAAGCTGCCCTAAATGTAGATTTCTGGAAACTGCCCTGAAACGCTACAACCATGTGTGTGTATGTGTGTCTGTGTGTGTGTTTGTGTGTGTGTGCACAGGCACACAACCCCCCACTGGGGTGCTGCAGTGTGGTCACGTGTGCTTCCCCCTCCAGTGTGTGATGCTGTGCCACGGGGCGAAGATAGGATTTTTCCAAGGAGATATCAGGCTGCTTATGGATGACCTCAAAGTTCTTCAACCCACCATCTTCCCCGTGGTCCCACGGCTGCTGAACCGGATGTTCGACAGAGTAAGTTCCAAGCACAGAGCAGAGGCCGAGGGCTGACCCCGTCTTGGGCTTGAGTCAGGCTTGACCAGGCCTCTCTGTGTGACCGTGGACAGTCCAGTTCGTCTCACGAACTAGAGTTTACTCATCTGTAAGACCAGAATGCATTTACCTCACAGAGCTGTTTTTAAGGAGAAAGTACATGTGAACACACTTATAAACATGCGGTGTAGGAATAAATGACCATATTTAATTATGGTCATTTTTATTTTCATAAGTAACTCTTGGAGCCTCGGTTTTCTCACCTGTACAGTGGACTGTTGCCTCCTCCACCTGCCGTCTGTCTCACAAAGTTGCTTTCTGTATCACATGAACCCAGTGATTGTGAAACGGTTTCATAAGTTGGAAAGCTCCATGCACATGTAGTATACTACTCCGCCACCTGGAGAGGAGTGACTGAGCCAAACGAGGGGTAGAGAAAGCTAGTCCCCTGCAGGGCCCTTATCACGTGGAGCACGTGGCCAGGGCAGGGTCAGCAGGTGGCGGTCTGTCTCCACAGCGTGTTTGGACTGGGAAGTGTAATGCTCTTCACTTTGAGGCATGGCTCCTGCCATCTATGAGAACCTGCTCCTTTTTTAATGGTTCTTCTAGAAAAAAAAAACTTAAAAACAGCTCTACACAATTTACCCACTTAAGGTGTATAGTGCCTTCACAGAGTTCTCTGACCATCCCACACTCCCCCTAAAAAAAAAAAAACCAACCCTTTCCCTACCCTTGAGCTATCATCCTCCATCCTGCTACCTGCCTTTACCCCTGAACAAAAAATAATCTGCTTTTTGAATCTATAGATTTGCCTATTCTGGACTTTGATATGACTGGAATCATGCGATATGTGTTCTTTTGTAACTGGCATCTTTCACTTAACATGTTTTCAGGGTTCTTCCAGGTTGTAGGGTGTATCTGTACTGCATTCCTTTTAACAGTCAAATAACATTCCGCTGTATGGATGCAACACATTGCACTTGTCCATCCATCCATGGATGGGCATGTGAGTGGTTCCCCCTTCTTGGCTGTTATGAATAGGGCTGCCACGGACAGCTTTCGGTGGCAGGTGTTTCCGTCGCTCCTGGGCGGATACCTCGGAGCGGTTTTCTAAAGCTGCACCATGTTCCATTTCCACCACAGGGCCTGGGGCCAGTGTCCTCACACCCTCACCAGCACTTGTTCTCTGGCTTCCCGCTTCTCGGAGTTGTGACACCTCCTTCTCTCCTGACTCCTTAGATCTTCGGGCAGGCGAACACCACGCTGAAGCGCTGGCTCCTGGACTTCGCCTCCAAGAGGAAAGAAGCGGAGCTGCGCAGCGGCATCATCAGAAACAACAGCCTGTGGGACAAGCTGATCTTCCGCAAAATACAGGTGGCCGGCGACTCCCGACACTGGTCCTGGCTGACTGGGCCTCGGGGTCTCTGTGAGGGCTCTTTCTGAAAGAGAGGTGTGACGCCAAGAGGGAGAAGGACGCCTTGTTATCAATTCTGGCACGTGGCTAACAATTACAAAAAGCTCAGGATCCAAGATAGATCAGTAGGATTGTAGCTGTGAGCATGGGAAAGGAACCAGCATATTGTAGCCTGCCTTATTCTCCATTTGGGTTTACTTTTCTGGAACAAGTATGTCACTCTTAAGGTAACTTTTAGGCATGAGTGACAATAAGTTATGTCCAAAAAATAACAAAAATGTGGGTGTTGCCATAGATCTATCACATTCTTGTTCTAAACCCTTAAGATGCCAGCAGGAGGGGGTGTCGACTTCCTTCCACCCCAAATGGTACAGTGTGGGGTGGAAAAACACTCCCTGGATGTGGATCTCCACATCAGCAAGCTCTGCGGCCCACAGAGAGCTGGGGGCTCGGGGACGGGGTGCCGTGGAAGTGTCTTTGAGGAGCCCCCCCACCCCCAGCCCTTTAACCCTCTCTCTCTCTGCCTGTCTTTGAAGTCGAACCTGGGAGGGAAGGTCCGGCTGATGATCACGGGGGCCGCGCCCGTGTCTGCGACGGTGCTGACGTTCCTGCGAGCCGCGCTCGGCTGTCAGGTGAGCAGCTCCACGCAGCCTCGTCCTGCCTGGGGGTCTTCTTTCCAGAGTCAATTCAAGTTCTCCCGTGGGTGCCTTCTTTTAAAAAAAAAAAAAAAATATATATATATATATTTTTTTTAATATATACAATATATATATATATTTTTTTTTAAATTGATTTCTGTGAGGAAGGAAGAGGCAGAGAGACGGAAGAGTCAACAATGAGAGAGAATCATTGATCAGCTGCCTCCTGCACACCCCCCACGGGGATCGAACCCACAACCCCAGCATGTGCCCTGACCGGGAATTGAACCGTGACCTCCTGGTTGCTTAGAGAATGAAGTGGGTATGTTTGGCCCCAGGCGGGGGACGTGCCCTTGTGTGCACACTGTGTGGCGCTGTCTGGGGGTCAGGCAGGAGGGAGTGGGGGTGGTAAGGGAGAGCCACTCGCACACCAGGCAGAGCCTGTCTTCAGGGGCAGGAGGACAGCAGAGATCAGCTGACACAGAGGACGTGGGGAGGGGGGTGGCCTGAGCTGGTGAGTGTCAGGGTCCTCCTTCCCCTTCCGCGGTCACAAAGCAGAAAATGAACGTGGACGGGGCTGGCTCTGGCGTGAGGGTGGAGACATGTGGACGCCATGAGAAAGCATGTCGTTGTATCCAATGAATTCACCAAACAGGAAATGCCAAGAGGTTTCACCCCGGGGGCCGTTCTCGGGGGTCAGGGAAACTTAATTTCTGTGCTCGTCCGGCCAAGGCACCCCCTTCTAACCCCGTTTCCTCTCTGTGCCCCAGTTCTACGAAGGCTACGGGCAGACAGAGTGCACGGCCGGCTGCTCCCTGACCATCCCGGGAGACTGGACGGCAGGTAGGTGACGGGCAGGCCGGGCCTTGCTGACACCCTGCTGTTCGGAGCGGGATCGAGTTCATCACTCATTGTTCTTCCCCCTCCTTCCCCACGTGCCTCCTTCCCCTAATGCTGCGTCTCAGGGCGCCAGAGCTGGGCGGCAAGGGGGGAGACTCAGCCAGATCCGGAAGGCAAACGGGTTCAGACCACCAGAGCTTGCCAGGAACCGACTGGTGGCGGGTTAAATGGACCGCGTGTGCGGTGCCGGGGGTGAGGCTGCAGAGAGAGGCACAGGCCTTGTTCCCAGAGGGACCGGTGGAGGCACACACACACAGCGGGCTCGGCCCCGGACCTGGATGTGGGTCTTCGTTGGGGCTGGGATGTACAGTACATGGCGTGTATCTCATCCCAGCCACGTCCCTGTGGGATGCATCCTGCTCGCTCAGGAACAACGGGTCGTGGGTTAAAAGCATGTCAATGACGGGTAAGAGCTGGCACCACAGGGTTCCCGCCCAGCCTGGCCACCCCCTCCCTGCGCCCCTGCCTGCCCGGTGCGCTCTGCACTGCGTGAGCCAGGCCCTGGCCTGTGGGTGTTACCCCGGGGGCACCAGGCACGGCAGGGACTCAGCGTCCAGCGTGACCCAGGAGCACAATCTGCTCGGTGGGCACCGGGGCTGTGACCTTCTCCACGGCGTTCACGGTGACGCCTGGTGCCCTGCGGCTGCTGACTTTGGAGTAGGGGTCTCTGTGAGCTGGAACTATTCACGTGTCGGAGAATCACTCGCGGTGCTTGTGCACATATCTAGTTCTGTCACTTCCGCGTGGGGCAAAGACCCACCCACCAGCCTCTGGCAAAGCAGTTCTGTTCCCCGTAAAGAGAAGCATCGTCCTGTCTCCCTAAACTTCCACATACAGCCTGGCCCTCCACACTCGGGAAATGGGGGTCCGGAACTGGGCAAGAGTGTGGGGCCGGAGGAGGCAGCAGGGGAGGGGGGCGCGGTGAGAGAAGAACCACGCCGGCCCAGCCTCCTGGGTACCGTTCGCCAGGTGTCCTGTGGACCCTGAGAGTCAGCACCCACATCGCTGGCACTTGGACAGAGTTCAGAGTCACACCTGGGACAGGCCCCCGGGGACGTGGGTGTTCCCAGCGGCCCCTCTGTCGGGGGTGACTGCCTAAATGAGCCTGCCAGGGGAGTCCGGCTGCAGTGCCGGGAGCGGAGTGCGTGCCCGCTGGTCTTCGGAGCAGCCTATGCCACACGTGGTTTGGCCCAAGGACGCTGCAGCCCCGGACTGACCATCCTCTCTGCACACAGGCCACGTCGGCGCCCCCATGCCTTGCAACCTGATAAAGCTCGTGGACGTGGAGGAGATGAACTACCTGGCTGCCAAGGGCGAGGGCGAGGTGAGCGAGGGCCCATGTCCCTCCCCGTCCTTGCCGTTTCCGGTAAAGCCGGTGTGACCAGTGCGGTGCCCCTGCCTGGCTCCGTGTCACCGGGGCCTCTGAGCCACTGAGCGTGGTCCCCCTGGCGGCCCTGGGCCAGGCGGGCTTCTTTCTGAAAGCCCACTTACGTTTAGCTCCCGGGGGGGACGGGAGGGCCCGCTAATGCCTCCTCTGCCAGGCATGCCGGGGACGGGGCCCAAGTCCTGGCACAGCTCCTGTCTCAGCGCCCTGGACGCCTGCCTGTAGGGGCGCTGCCGCTAGGCTGGGGGGCTGGGGGCTGGGGGCTGGGGTGGGGGGCTGGTTGCTCCATAGGGATCTCGTCCCCTCGGGCTCTCTCCAGCAGCTCTGAGCAGCATTCGTCCTGCAGCTGGAGGGCAGCTGAGGCTCCTAATCAGGGAAGGGGGGCCCTGGAGGCGCCGCCAGCACCCTGGGGTCCTGGAATCCAGGGCTTCTTGCTAAAGGTCAGGGCATGCGTGTGCACACACACACACACACACACACACGCACGCACGCACACACCCAGTTCTCTCTGGAGAAGCCCCTGTGGATGCCGCTGACGGGCCACCTCCCCGGGTGTTGAGGTGTGGCTGACACAGGCGGGCAGGTCTGCTGTGCACAGAGGCACCAGGCCCTAAGGCAATCTCTCCTCTCTGAGCACCTTCCGCACACCTCCAGGGGGCGCTGTGGTGCCTGCGGTGCGTGTAGTCTGCACTGCCCCTCTCACCCAGAGCGTGTCCCTCCTGACCCCTCCATCTCCCGCCCACCCCGTCCTCCCCTCAGGTGTGTGTGAAGGGGCCAAACGTCTTCCAAGGCTACCTGAAGGACCCGGCGAAGACGGCGGAAGCGCTGGACAAAGACGGCTGGCTGCACACGGGGGACATCGGGAAGTGGCTGCCGGTGAGCGGCCGGAGGGAAGAGCGTGCGCCTGCCACGCACCAGGGCCCCCGGCTCTCCCTTCCTTGGTCCCGGGGTGGGGCAGGCCTGGCCCCGAGCAGGTGCAGGGCCTCACGGAACCGGGCGGGCAGGTTCACCTCGGTGTGTGCCACCGGTTCCGGCCGCTTCCTGTTCGCCTGCTGTCCGTGTCAGCCTGTGCCTGGCGGTGGGCTGTCCGTGAGCAGGTGTCCGTGGCTGACCGCCAGGAAGGAGGGCAGGACCCGAACACCTGGGTTCTCGGGTTCGTCCTCCTAAAGGGAC